CGAACTTTCGTCCACTATGCTTGGGCCAGAGCATTGTCAGTGTACTTATTCCCTAGTGCGGGATTTCTTCTGTCTCGTATAATTTCTGCAAGTGCACTACATTTGCGGTGAATCAGGTCGGAGTGTATCACATCTTTGCTCTGTTGCTTCTATTTTCTAAGATGATATGCTTCGGAAAAGTTTTGAAAAAAGCTGATCCAGGCAAATCACGAATCGAATTGCCAGTCGATAAGTGGATAAAGGGAAGCTAAGGCAGCTATCTGTAGGCGAAGGCAAATTCCACTGTGATCAGTTCTTTAAGGCCCACTTTCACTTTACGTTTGCAACTAACGTCGATTCGTTTTATCGATAAGATATTTCTGCTTGGCTTTTGAGCCACGAATTTGCGTAGACAGGGAAGCAGGGATTTCGGAGTTTGTTCGGCACTGCCTATCTCATTCATTAATTTTGCTCATGGTATAGCGTTTCTGTTAGTTTTGGTTGTTTTTACAGGTATGCGCTGCTTTTGGACGAGAGTTGTGAGCTGCTTCCTCATCCCACTCTATGCAAAATTTCGTACGGAGTTGGCGATGCGCTGTTCCGGTTGCGACATATGTACATGAAACATCCACTATGCCAGCACAATTATTCATGCCTGAGCAGAATTGTCGAGGTGCTTATTTACCGGGAATTTTTGCATCATAGTTTCTTGGGTGGTCCAGTTCATTCCCTCTCTGCTGCAAGCAGAATTCGAGTGTGATTATGTTAAACTATCCTCTTCTGGTATTCATGGTTATCACGGATGCCTGTAAATTTCTCGCGGGGATTGCGATGTGTTTCATCTAAAGTTTGTATAAGAAATTATTGTCAGTCTTTAAGCATCGCCGTTTTTGCTAGCGTCCGGGATAATTTCTGTTTCCACTAATCAGATGGATGTCAGTGAGGGGGCAAGGTTGCTGGCACACTTGCAAAGATTGCTAGCATAACATTTTGCAGATCTGCTTACGAGAAATTGTCACTTTTGGTTTTGAGTATTTATCGGCATCTGGTAGCTTTTCATTCGTTAGATTCATTGCTGAGCGAAGCAGTCACTTTGCTGTCTCTTCGGGCATGCACTGGTCCTCTCGCAGCATTCGATGCGGGACAGCACCTACACGTGGCATCTCGGTCTAATACATCTTTTTACAGGCGTTCTGCAAGAACTTCTTCAAAGGCTTAATTTGGAGTGTTTGCATCACCTTGCTGAACAGCGGTTTTGCGGTTGTGCGCCGGCCCTTTGCATTTATCTTTCTCCTTCTTTCCTTCCGCACTTTGCGACTGCCATTGTTTTATGGATCTCTGGCATCTTTATGTCAGGTATTTGCATCATCTTACATTAATGCGCAGAATTTTAAACCAGTTGCGGGCTTTGATTGAAAAATTTGTTTGGGATGAGAGAAATAAGCTAGCTGATAATTTCATTTTAGGTGGTGCGCTGTGGGGACCGTTATTTGGCACTTCGGCAGTCGGCCCCGGCATATCTCTATGGCATAGCCAGTGCTTTTGCTATGCTTGTTTATTCGAATTGTTCGGTGGCTTTATTTGTGTTTTGGAAGTTCATAGAGGTTTGTTTCACTTGC